ACTACGATGTTTTTTGCCAGATTCATTCATTTCATGCAAAAACGTGTCGAATTACCCTAATTTCATCAAAATCGGTGAGTAGACGCGTCTACTGCATAATTACAAAAAAACGTAACGAAAAGTAACAATTTTTTTATCGTTACCGTAACGGTAACGCGTTAGTTTTTAGAATCGGTAACGAGTAACGGTAACGAATTACTTTTTACCGCAAATAACGGTAACGGTAATGCGTTACTTTTAAAAAGTAACTTTCCCAACTCTGCATATATGTATACAATATATAGAGTGGTCGGTACTTTAACAATTTTTGAAATTTTACCGACCCTCCCTAAAGCAGTTCGATATCTTGAAAAAATAACATCATATTTTTTTCAGATTTTTTTAAACAATTTTAACCGGTGCCACCGTGACACGAGTAGGTGGAAAAACACCCTTGTGGACAAAATTTGGCCGATGCTCTAATTCTTAATCAATTTTAAAGTTTTTTTTAATTTGCTCAAAATTGAATTTGTTATAATATAAGCTTATTCTGCTTAAATTTGGATTACGGTACAAAGTAAAAATTGTCGTGATAAAGTTGTGTGGTGAAGTGAGCAGAAAAAATAAAAATTACATGATAACAAAGATCGAAATAGCAATTTTTAATTTGGGCTGTAGTCAAAATTGATGCAGAATGGGTTACAGCGCATTTAATTTCGAGCAAATTAAAAAAAAAGCTTTAAAATTGATTAAGAATTAGAGCGAAAGAATTTTTCCGCTCAATGTACAGAGTTTTGAAATTAAGTATTGCTTTTTAATGGGAACTTTTCTCTTAAATAGTCTTTCGACAACTGAAAGCTATCAATATTTCTGTAAACCAGGCCTGTCCAATACTTTGCTCGTAAGTCGAAAACGCTTCCCCCTCTCTGTCATCTCAATAGAGCGAGACGGAGCGAAAATAACAAAGGATAGGCGCCAAGGCTCCGCCCGAATTTAGGTCTGTTCATAGACGAGATTCATAGAATACAATGATACAAACATATATACACATATATATATATATATATATTTATAATATATATATATTTTTATCTAATTGTATTATACAAGTAGCGCTGTATACAAAATCATTAAAATTATTATATCTGTGATGAATTTAGTAATAAAGACTATCAATCTTTTATCAGAGAGGAAAATATTGAGTTGGTCCGAAAGTTTGTGCCGTTTCATTAGCTCAAATTTCTATATATTCGACATTTAAAAAATTAGCATGACACCATTTGATAGAGCAAAGTTTCAGTTTTACGAATCTGTTTTAGTAATTACGGTACAATGATTTTTATGAGCAAAGTCAGAATCCCTTTTTACTTAATTCGCGAATAAAAATTACAATAAAATCTATTAAAAAATTTCGATCTTTAATCTGGTCATCATAAGTTGTTGCAAAAATCACTGTTGATGATCAGATTAAAGGTGGAAACGTTTGTGATTAAATTTTATTGTAATTTTTGGGTGTCACTGCTGAACATAATAAACATAATTAAAAACAGCTACTATAATTGTATATTGAGAAATGGGTTCTCTCTTGGCTCCTTTATTCTATGAATCTCGGACAGATCTGAATTCAGGCGGAGCCTTGGCGCCTATGCTTTGTTATTTTCGCTCCATCTCGGTCTACTGAGATGACGGAGAGGGAGAAGAGTTTTCGACTCACGAGCAAAGTGTTGGACAGGCCTGATCTATGTCATATGTACAAAATTATATCGAAGTGTGAAAAATGACTATCAATTCAATATCATCATTTCGACGCTAAATCGATTTGATTTGTCATTTCTCGCTCAATTATTGAAATATTTACACCAGATTTTGACTGATTTATTCGTGTTTGCATTAACATACTTACAAACTCAAGTATTTCTATCAATGGTGATAACAGACCAGCATTTAATACATTTTGGATTTGGTTCGGATTTGTAATCATTTTCGAGATTATTACAACAATTTTCTCTGCAATATGTTCATTGGCGCGATGATTCCGTAACAAGGTACGTAAATACGACAATTGTTCTGCTAAAATTAAAATATCCGATTCAGCCACCTCATCTATTCCTACTATATTACCAACTATGTGTAACACTGGCATAAGGATACTTTCCTCTCGCGACGTCAGACATTTTAAAATTTTCGGTAAAATGCCAGCTTCCAATACCGCTCGTATGTTATCGATGGATTTATCAATATGGTAAGAGAGTAATTCGAAAATATTGGCTGAAACGAATGGCAACATAAAGATATTTTAAATTCAAAATAAATTATATAATATGTAAAGTATTACAAACAAAAACGTGAATATCTTACTACGTAAGTCTCGATTTTCATTATTAAGCAGGCAATTAAGCACTGGTAGAACAGGCCTTATCAATTCAAGAAATAAAGCTGAATCCATTTTTTTACAAAAAATAGTTAAAGTTCTTATAATGTAGCACATATGTGTAGGTACTATCTGTATCGTCTTATCAGTATCAGGAAAAATTGAAATGTTATCTACTTATTAAAATAAACATAGTTTTGAAATTCTACTTAACATAAAAGCTAAGTTTGTCTTGCTAGCTTTTGTGTTAAGAGCGCTTATAAATCATTATTTCTCATAATTTTAAAGTGCTTTCTTAAAAACAAATAAGATACAAGCTAATTCAGATGCTAACAAAAAAAGAATAAAAAGAATATTTCATGAAATATTTCATTTCAATGTGGACATATTCCACATATCTGATCTAATACATAAAAATAAAAAACTAATATCGGATAAAATAAAAAACTATGAACGGAAGAGAAAGAGAGAGACTTGTTTATGGAAACTATTTTCAAATTTTAATAATAAAGCATTTTTCTCGATTGAATAGTATATTTGAAATTATTATTGTCAAAATATTTATTATTTATTATAATAACTGTAGAAGAAATATCTCTTCAATGTACAATAAATTACTCCATATTATTCTATATATAATTTTATATATATGAAGGCCGTTTGAAAAGTTTTGAGTCTCAATATGAAAATGGCATTACTCTTCAAAACCCATTCTGGTACTACAATCGTATATGTTTTGAAAGATACTTGTAAAAATTGTAGCCATTTTTAACGCTCAGTTGTTGTTTGATAATCATTTGTGCTAATCCATGTCAGTGTTTTTGTAAAAATGAAAAAAGTCGAATATCGGCGGTTGCCGTGACAGAAATTTATAAATTGCAGTTCAAATTGATTGATTACCCACTGTATTCACCAGATCTAGCCCCTAATGACTTTTTCCTATTTCCTAGGGTCAAAGTTTGGCTCGGAGGACAGAGATCTTCATCAAACAAAAACACTGACATCAACTGGCAAAAATAACTGTCAAACAACGACTGAGCGTTCAAAATGGCTACAATTTTCACAGGTATCTTTCAAAACATGTACGATTGTAGTACCAGGGCACCTATTATGGAAATGTTCGGAATAGATTCCGATCGGAATTATTCAATTATTCCCTAGATTTCTATTGTGTTTTCTGGGGAAAACGAAATAATTCCGATCGGAATCCATTCCGAGCATTTCCATAATAGGTACCCTGAATGGGTTTTTACGAGTAATGCCATTTTCATAAGACACAAAACTTTTCATTTCAAAACGACTCTCGTACATTAATAGTTATTATTTACTTTACGCTATTAACAGTCTCCACTTTGTCAAAGCTAGCTATTTTTTCATGTAATAAATAATTTTCTCTTTCAAATACTATTTAAGTTTTCAATTTTTTAAATTAAGTATAACTTTATTGAGTTAACAAGATATAAAAAGTATTATACTATCTAAATGTTTTAAACGAATATTGACATAGCTTGAATATTATCTATAACTTCTTGCATTGAAGAGGAAGATAAAATGAGGAGCAGATTTTTAAAATACGTTTTGTCCAAAATTTATCATTTTCAGAAAACGAAAAAGAAAGAAACTACGTACACAAGAAAATTACGTACTTTACAGAAAATAACAATATGCCAATCAGTAAGATGTGAAATATTAAACAAAATTACTAAACAATTACTAAAAATGTTAAATAAATGCATTTTGTTTGTTTCTAGTAGTTCTATAGAGTTACATAGTATTACACTATGTAATGAAAACAAATTTCAAGCAGGCATATTAAAAATATTTAATGTGTTGTCAATGAAAATGAAGTTACAGATAACTTAAATTTAACGTTTACTTACATTAAATTTTATACAAATCTACATAAAATTTAATAAAAAATGCACTAAACTTCGTAAAATTTTATGAAACGTACACTAAATTTCATGTACATGTACACAAATATACTTTGCAGTTACAGATACATAAAATTTAATTTAATTTATGTAACTTAAAAGTACATTAAATTTCATGCCATTTTTAACAGTGTAGATCTTTCTTTGCGTGGAAAGTCGTGCGCTTCTTGGCAGGAGGGGAGGTGGAGCGGGAGTCACTTTACGTGGGAAGTCGTATGTTCTTATTCGGTGCAAATTTTAGACAATAAATATTGTCATATTAAAAAAATTTTTTTTCATTTCCCGAAATCGAGGCTATAAGTTTTTTATTTCTTACATCAAAAACAACTTATATGTAAAATATTAGATCAATTGCGAGCAGGGGTCATTCGTAACTACACCCTTTGATTTAATTAACGTTTTTAAAGATTTTTACATGAAGAAATAATTAAAAACAAAAATTATTTTGTTGACTAGACCTCCCTCTCCTGCCAAAGGGCGCACAACTTTCCACGCAAAGCAAGATCTACCTGAATGTTTATCTCTATCTTCCTCTGTCAAGGGAAAATACTGCTGATATATGTACCTTGTGTTCGAAAATTACATACTATTCATAAAAATTATTTTGTTCACAACTTTTTAATACACCGACAGGAAAGATTTGTGACTTGTGAGGGTCAAGGTCAATTGGAGGTCATTTGAGGTTGACTGTATAAAGGGAAAATTTTACTAAATGCTAATTAAGTCGATTAAATAAATTTTGAATATTTCAAAAACTAAGCATTTGCGCAAGTCCGCATTTATGGATTTAACTACATTTAGTTAGTACTATACACCAGTAAAATTTCATCGAAATCGGACTTGAATAATATACGGAAATCTTACCAAATTAAAACCGATAATATGAAAAAATATTGTCAAATACAATGTTACTTACAGGGATATCAGATTTAATTAAGTCAACCAAAGAAAGTACAGCATTATGTTCAATAGCAATGTCACGTGCATACGGTATACCTTTGATTAAAGCTTCTAAAGTAAATATTGCACATTTCGCAATATTAAACGATGCAGACTTAAGTAGCTTCACTATTTTTGATATTGCGCCATGTTTTATAATACACTGCATTTCTTTGGAAAATTTACCCCTAATTAAAGCAGTAAACAAAGATAGTACTTCAAATTGCGAGGCAGGACTGAAGAAAAATAAAGAAATTATTTCTTACATTATATCTATTAAAAATACACGAAGAAACAATTTATTTAAGTAGATAAATCATTTTTTTAGTTTTCATATACATACCTGCCCCTATCTAAGATCTCCATACAATATGATAATGCCTTACTTTCTAAGACAGGCTTTGTAGCAGGCTTTATTGCTAAACTAAGAAATTGGCTATAAACCTGAAGTGCCAGTACTTGCAATGCTTCGTCATACTCGAATACCCAGTCTAATCTGAGTTGTTCAATTTTATATTGAGGAATTTCACCTTGAGGTACAGAAGGAGTACGAGTGGATGGAATAACAGCTTCTATCGATAAACTTGGAAGTTCTGTGTGTGTCCCAACATTATGTTTCGACAGTTGATCATCTTTTATGGATATACATAACTATACCACATAATTGAATATAAATTATGATATTAAACAGCATGTAAGATGTTTATACTCTGCTCAAAAAAATTATGGCACAGAATGTGGGCAAAAATGACCAACTTTGACTAACAATAACTTTGCAAAAATTATCGTATAAGGATAACGTTTTTGTAAATTAAAGCTTGAAATTTCTATTTTAAGGCGCTGTGGCCATATTTTAAGTTTGATGCATCCCTATACCACCGTAACTTTCAAAATACGATGTGTTTGTCATATTGAAAATTGCAAAGTATGAAGGAATACACGGATTTTGTAAAATTTGTTGTGGAAATGCCATTTGCAATGGCGTAACATTCGAATTATCCCCTTTAATTAAAAAAAAAAAAACAAGTTATGATATTTTTTTTCACGAAGTTACAGCACTTTAAACTTACCTTTGCATTTTTCACATATACTACCGACATTACCTGCATTAACGGATATGCATTATGACGAGGTTGCGCTGGATGGATCTTGCACATTTCTCCGTATGTGTAGATTTTGCACATCGTGTTTCTGCGTGTAAATTTCAATAACGTGTGCTGTCTTCGCGTTGCTCGATTTCTACTTACAATTAATTCCTCATATTAATGCAGGCTCTAATTTCTTCCTGCGGAATGTTATTTCAGATTTATGTCCGTATATGTAAAAAATGCAAGGGTAACTTTAAAGTGCTGTAACTTTGAGGAAAACAGTCACAACTTATTCTTTTTTTTTAATTAAAGGGGAAAGTTCGAATTTTATGTCGCTGCAAACGGCATTTCAGAAAAAAAATTTTAAAGTTCGTACATTCCGTCAAACTATGCAACTTTCAATATGACAAATACATCCTCATATTTTTGAGTGTTCAATAGCAAGGGGACATTAAACTTAAAATATGGATATACCGTCTTAAAGTAGAGATTTCAAGCTTTGATTTAAAAAAAATACATTATCCTACAATAATTTTTCGCAAAATTATCGTTAGTCAAAGTTGGCCTATTTTTACCCATAATTTTTTTACGCCATAATTTTTTTTGAGCAGTGGATATAAATGTTAAATACACAAAAGATATCTAAAGAAACATCTTTGATAATTTTACACGTGTTCAACAGAGAAAACGGATATTTTTATTTAGTTAATATTACGATTAGTAACACTTATTGTATAGATAAATTATAAATTTATTAATAATAAATATTTTTCATATTCAGATAAAATGTAAAACCGTTTACGAAAAAATAGGGCTTTCCTATATAAATTGTTTTATATTCAAATAAATATAAAATAATGTACAAACGTTTGGAAAAAAAAACCAATCTATTATGGCCAAAGATTTTTTATAGATTTCTTCATCTTCATGGTATTGAAAAGCTATTAATTTATCTTCCAAGTCTATTAATTCTCCAAGCTGTTGGATCGTAATGGTAAGACCTATTCTCTCTGCAGTATGCAAGACATTAGTCAAACCAATTATGGCATTAATAATATCGTTATTATTATCGCTAAATTTTAGTAAAAAACAAAGAGCTCTCAATACACCAGCTTCCACAAACTTGGTAAATTGTTGAACTGTTCCTCTCGTTATCATGGTAGTTACAGTCCATGCGGCCATTCCAGGTGTTTCTCCCTAAAAAATATGTAAATGTATTGATCTGTGAAATATATCAAAATATTTGTATTACTTTGTATTAATATTTAAAGTCTAATTTCTTGTTGTGTGCATAACTATAGCTGAAGGGAGATGGTTATAGAAGGAGGGATTGTTGAATATTACGATATATATATATATATATATATATACATATTCTTGTATAATTTGGGCTGCATTTACAGTCTGCTTAGATAATGACTACTAGTCATTACTGTTTATTGTGTCGTCGTAAAAACTGCATATTTGTTTTGCAGACATTCTTATAGGTGTATATATAGGATATAGATCGAAATAAATTATTTATATAATAAGAAAAATATAAAAAAGATGCAGATGACAACCATAAAATTTTAATTTAATTGGAGAATGGTAGAGGAAAAGCCCCTATTATGAGATACCGAGTTCATTTTGGGTAAATGCTAGAAACATATGGGCAGAATTAAAAAAATAATAGATCACATTTTGAAGGGAATTTAATAAGCTTTAAGATGTTAATATATAAAATTTAATTCAAATTTCATTTTTTTTATTAAATTAAAGAAATGTAAAAAGTAAGCAAATCGCAAAGTCAAAAAATTGTACACTTGATATGAGATGCCCCGATAAATAGATAATAAAACGCAAAGTACATCAGTATTGCAATTAAAGAACTTTATTTAATGTTTCTGAAATCAAACATCACAGCCAATGCGCATGCAAAATGAGCATGCAATGCATTGTACCTAGGAGTGTAGGACTCGTCTTCAAGTAGTTGGAAACAAGCATCGTAGAAACAAGTATTCTATGTTCATTCCGGTTGTCTTTTTTAGGTGTTAAACTTAATTCCTGTCGCTCATTACTAGAGGATGCTCCAACGCTGGCTCCAACGCTGGTGAGTTTCGACGATGAAGTCATATGTCTTTTGTAGTTTAGACATCGCTGAAAGTGATTCAATCCTCACAGATTAGATTTCTCGACGCCAAAAAGATTTTCCAATCGATTGAAAATGAATCGCGAAAATGAAAGCTGTTTTTCCGACATGTGCTTCTTCACTACTTCGACCTCAAGAAAACCGCAGCTGAAGCGCATCGCTTATTATCCGAAGTGTATGGTGATGAAACTCCATCGGAAAGAACATGTAGAGTTTGGTTTGACCGCTTCCGAAACGGTGATTTTGATATGAGAGACAAAGAACGTCCAGAACAGCCGAAAAAATTTGAAGATGTCGAGCTGCAAGAATTGCTTGATGAGAATCCAGCTCAAACGCTTTTAGAATTGTCGAAAAAGTTAAATATTACTCCAAAGGCCGATTGAGTGACGAATTGATGCAAAAAAGATCATCTGTAGCCAACAATCGACGCATAGTCATTTTGTTGCATGATAACACTCGACCGCATGTCGCGAAAAGCGTGAAGCAGGCACTTCTAGAGCTTGAATGGGAAGTTCTCCCGCATCCAGCGTACTCTCCAGACTTGGCACTGTCGGATTACCATCTCTTCCGATCGATG